AGGAGGTGAAGGGCCACCAAGAAGGGGAGACTCCAAGGCCCAAGTAGCAGTATTTAATACTGCACCCACCGTGTAGGAGCAAGGCAAGACTGAGGGCTCTGCAATTAGGGGCTGATAGAGCATGCACTGAGGTCATCAGAGGACAGGGACGTCTGACCGACCAGAAGGGGTAAGGGCTGGAGGTGGAGGTCCCAGAAGGCCCAGCAGGGAGCTTGAGAAAGAAGCTGAGCCAAGAGAAGGGATAATCGCCACCCAAACACCCCCCTTTTGGTGGCTGGTGACACTGCAGACCGGTACACAGACGGGAAAATGCCAGGTTTCTGGAAAGCTCCAGATGAGAAGGAGCTACTGTGTAGGGATGCCCCAGGGTACACTGTGTGGGCTGGAACAGGGCTGCTCTGACATGTTAATGGGTGCCTGGATGGGGAGATGGGCATGGATAAGGGCATGCAGGACTCGGGAGGAACTGGTAGGCGGATGCAGGGAGGGGTGGGCTGAACTGGAGACAAGGCTCTGGGGACAAGAAAGGATCCCCAGAGAATTTCCACAGACACACACACCCATATGTTACCAGTGAGTCAGGGTGCAGATGTGAGATCCGGGACCTCTCTGAAAAACTAAAGTAAAAATTTCTTGCTCCTTTCCAAGTGGGCAGGAGCTGCTATGTTGGTTTGCTTGTGGCCTTTAGGCAGGGAAGACACAGAAAGGGAGGCTCGTCACCTCCAGAAACATATTTTTCATGTTTGCACAATGGTCATGGCAAATTTCTGCTGTGCATGTACACATCTACTGCCCCTCACGATGGCAGCAACCTGTGTGCCCACCCACTGTGGCTCACATCCACGTCTGCTAATAATGACACAAATCCACCATCCTAGTACCTAGGTCATCTCTAGCTGACAGCAACATCCGTAACCAGAAATAGTGGCACACCCCTAGACCCTTGAATCTGGCACAATCTATGTCAATTGGGCCCCATGGTACCCTTGCCTTACACCAGAACCCGCCATAGCACCATTGGCATGCTCTGCTGTAGTAAATGGAGTTAGCCTTGTACCATCACACTGGTTCTTAACAGGACAGGATGGACTCAGCACCACATAGTAAGACTATAATGAGAGTCACGTGGCAGCACACCCATGCATGTCATACAACAATCACGGCACCTGCATCTTCCGTGTGTGCTGAATGGCCCCACACTGGCCATATATACAGGTACATCATTGAACAATGATGAGTTTGCCTTCACACGGTGTCATACAGACAGAGGTACACGGGGAAGACTCACATCATTCCCTAGCCATTGCTGGTGATGAGAAGGAAGGTACTCACCAGGGGAGCTACAACCCCCACAGTCCTCTTCCTTCTTCTGGCCCAGGCCACCCTCCCAAAGCAAGGCCAATGCTGCCCCCCAAGGCTCAAACTAGAACCACAGGATGTGGGGCAGCTCAGGTCTCCCTGAAGTGACAAGCGGCCAGCAAAGCTCTGGTTCCTAGTAGATCTGTCACAGAGTGCTCACTGGAGTGAGGTGTCTGACCTTTGAACAGACACCTCGGGAAGCTGTTATCACTGATGGGCACGTTTCAGTCTATGACAGCTGTCGTTCCTCATACACAGTTCCTCGGCCCTTGTGACAATCCTAGCATTGGCTTTCCTAATTGGCTTCCTACTGAACATCCAAGGAGTATCCGCCCCATTTTGTGAATCTGTCCAAACCTGCCTCCCTAGTACCTAGAAGCTGCCTTCTAGTACCTTCCATGTTTGTGCTCACTCACAGTGAGCTGAATTTAGAGAGGCAGGACGGGAAGAAAATACTGCAGTTTGCATGACTTGACCACCCTGATCTGAGTGTAAATATACGGTATGTGTGTGTGTGTGTGTGTGGTGTGTGTGTGTGGTGTGTTTGTATGTGTGTGTGGTGTGTGTGTGGTGTGTTTGTGTGTGGTGTGTGTGTGGTCTGTGTGTGTATGGTGTGTGTGTGTGTGTGGTGTGTGTGTGGTGTGTGTGTGTGGTGTGTGTGTGTGCATGGTGCATGTGTGTGTATGTGTGTGTGGTGTGTGTATGTGTGTGTGGTGTGTGTATGTGTGTGTGTGTGGTCTGTGTGTGTATGGTGTGTGTGTATGTGTGTGTGTATGTGTGTGTGGTGTGTATGTGTGTATGCATGCTGCAGAAGTCCCACTTGCACAGGCTGTGGCATGTTGGAATATCAGGAGAGAAGCAAGGCCCACAGTGTCCAGTGCCATATCAGCAGGAACCCTGGCTCTGCTGAAGATTCACTTTCTCCTCCTGGGTATCAAGTCTGCATCTTGAAAATGTGGGTTTGTGGAAATTAAATGGGAACATGTGATGTGTGAAAGCCCCAAAGTGAGCATCTCAGACCCTTTGAGTGCTTAGATCATGACTGAAGTTAGGAGATGTTTGCAACAGTCAGCCGCTTTTCTTAAATAATAACTGAGGATTTGGGAACCATGTCGGGGCTGTTTACATGGAGCAGGGAGAAAGGACTCCCCTCTCCACCTCTTTTTGTCCCTGGGAGAGACCCGTGGCTCTGATGTGAGTCACCCCTAATGGATCGACCAGATAAAGCAACCAAAACTTGACCAAGCTGTTCATCAGAGGATTTCCACAGCCAGGCTCGGTTTCTGTCAAATAATGAGGAACTTTAATAGACTCACAATAGGCTTGGATTCAAATGTAACTGCTGCCTGGATGGTCTTCTTATCCAACTGCAGCTAATGGCCCTGAGCTGGAAGTACAGGCATGGATGGACATCACCACTGAGGACTGGGTCTTCCTCTCAGAGCTTCATTCCACCTCTCTCTACCTTCCCCATTGCCCTGAGGTCACCTCCAGCAATGGTAAAAATAATTACTATTTATCAATCAATTAGCTAAAATTAAAAAAAAACAGTAGTTCTGGTCTTCCCTTGCAATGGTTATTTATCTGCTCAGCAAGCATACCCTTAGCATCCACTTTGCTAACTGTTAAACTGAGTCAATTTCAATTAAGCAAGACTCACCAGCCCTTCCAGAACTAATGCCCCTCAGTTCTGTCCTGACAGTAAGCCATCCTCAAATCCTTCAACCTCTCCATCCCCAGACCAGCCTCTTCACAAGACGAATACCCTGGAGCTTACCAAAGTCCCTCTTAGGCTGCAGTGCTCAGGACCAAAGGCCATCTTAGACTGCAGTGCCCAGGACCAAAGGCCATCTTAGACTGCAGTGCCCAGGACCAAAGGCCATCTTAGACTGCAGTGCCCAGGACCAAAGGCCATCTTAGACTGCAGTGCCCAGGACCAAAGGCCTTAGACTGCAGTGCCCAGGATCAAAGTCCCTCTTAGACTGCAGTGCCTAGGACCAAAGTCCCTCTTAGACTGCAGTGCCCAGGACCAAAGGCCATCTTAGACTGCAGTGCCCAGGACTGAGCTGGATCTTTTTCTGAAGCCTAAGTTGGATTTTAATCCTCGCTTGATCACTGTCCATGTAGAAGGCAAAGACCCAGCTATTGCTGCTGTGGCTGTAGCCGTAGACCACTTGCGGGGCATGTTGCTGAAGGATGTGCAGAGAGAAGGGGGCAGGGGAGACTGCCACTCTCAAAATGACAGAATGTCAGATTTCTTGACTTAGAACTCCCTTCAGGCATTAGGGGCAAGTCTAAATCACTCTAACCAAACGGGAGTGTGCACACACACACATACGCATGTGTACACGTGCACACACACACACACTTTAGGTCGGTCACCTTAGGAAATAATGTACGTGCTATGCTGATGCCCCATCAGTGCTAAATAGAGGGCTCTGCCGCTGTACACAGTCCCCAGTCTGAAAGGGGAGAGGAGAGGTGAACCTCACAAAGGTGATTGATTCTTCAGGAGAGCAAATTATACACACCAATGTCTTCTGACTTACGAGGCTCCCCACTTTTAGGCATGTGAACCCTCTCCCTCCCCTGGATCCTGTCCTCCCACAGCTCTCCCTCCTGGGAGAGAACCATCCCTTTCAGAAGCAAAAGCCATCTCCACTTTCACACAACTCTGATGCATGCATGAACTCCTGCACAGCTTTCAGAGGCCAGGTGCAAGGCCCTCCTCCCTGGAGTCATTTCCCTGCACCCCAGGCTGGATTAAAGGAAGAGGCTGAGAGTCAGTCGATGACAGGCAGAATGGAAAGGCTCATTAGGAGAGACTAAGAGAATGGAGTGTGAGAGGGGAAGAGGCCAGGCTGAGGATGGAGCTGATGTTGCTGCCATCACTGGAGTCCCTTCTCTCCCCTGGGTTTAGGAGGGAAAGGAAGGCCTTCTAGAATAACACCACCAGAGGACTGCATCTTCTTCCAAAGATAACAGACCTACAGAGGACTCAGGAGGGGCTCAGCTAATGTTCCCCCTGCAATTCTATGGGAGTCTTTGCTTCTGGGTCCAAAGCAGAGAGAGAGTACCTTGCTCCCTTCTCCTGCACACTAATGGCTCTGGAGCAAGCCTGTAGCTGGACACTGTGGTTGTTAACTGCACTGCATAAATGATCTGACAATGGACTGTCCAGTCCAGAAGCTGCTCACAGGCAAGATACAAGCAAGCAGAGAGAGGAGGAGGTTAAAACCTGGGTTCCTTTAGGGAAGTGGGCACCCCAAGGGGAAACGTGCCTAGAACAGTCAAAGGCAGCTTCCATGCAGAGGCAACTCCTTTGGTTTCTGCCCTTTTCCATGGTTGTCCGCATCACCCTTCCAAAGCTGTAAGCTTGTGGTTCTTGGAGCTTGGACACACAGGAGTTGGGAAAGAAGCCTAGCTGATCGGTAGGGCTGTCTGCGACAAGAATCAGCAGACAAGGAAGGGGATTAAGAAAGGAGAATGGGAAAAGCGGAAAGAATAAAAGGGGAAAGGAGAAAAGGAAGAAGGGAGGATGGGGAGGAGGCAGCGAGAGGAAAAGGAGGAGGGAAAGAGGGAGGGAAGGGGAGAGGGAGGGAGGGAGAGGGAGAGTGGGAGAGAGAGAGAGAGAGAGAGAGAGAGAGAGAGAGAGAGAGAGAGAGAGAGAGAGTTTGAATTTCCCTTCTGGAAGAGGAGCTGTAGGGCGTCAGGGCTTGGCTGAGGGGTGTGATTGGAGGGCGCCTTCAGCATCCGCCCGCCCGCGGCAGCCGCGGCCCCAGCTCGCCTGGCGGAGTTACACCAGGCGGCGGCGCGAGCTGGCTGAGCACACGGCACCGCCTGCTGGAGTCAGCCGGAGCCCTGCAGTGGCTTAGACGGTTGCTGGGACCACCAGGTCGGTGTTGGCCTCGGGCCGGGGAGGCGGAGCCGGGCTGGGGGCAGTAGGGGACCGTTCTGGCCTTGGGGCTGTGGGGAAGCCAGGCAGTGCGGCTTTGAGGGGCTCCCCAAAACCGCGGGCGCGCTGGGGACTGCGGCCCCTGCCCGCTCTGCATGGTGCTGAAGGGACAGCTCCCCGCGGAAGCCCGGCTGAGGGTTGGTGCCGGCGCAGGACAGGCAGATGTGGGCAGGCAGATGTGGGCAGGCGCGCACCTAGAGCGGCCACAGTGGGGCTCGGGGAGCCCGGACCGCCCCGAGTGCGGACACTCCACAGTGAACCTGGAGAGCAACTTCGAGCCCCCAAGACTAGGGTGGGGGACGTGGTCCTCAGCTACTTCGGGGTGTGGCTACCCCCCCCCGAAGCCCTCTGGCCCCTCTGCTCCGGGAGCAGAGAGCCGCCCCAGGGCTAGAGTTCGGTTCCCGAGGTGGGGAGTCTCAGGGTGGCAGAGGCTAGTTGGAGAGAGGAGTGCCCACGTCGGTGGGGGGCAGGGGACTATTTGTCCTCTTCCCGCAGGACCGCAGTTGGGCAGCTCGAGCCCGTGTGGGAGTCGCAGACTCGGTCTCAGTCTCAAACTGCCCCCTCCACATCAAAGTTTAATATCAGTCTGGGTCTCGGGGTTGAGAGGTGTGTGTTGGGGGAAGGGGACACGCAGTGGCCAACTGAAAGCCCCTGGACAGAGCTGCGGCGAGTGCTGGTCTCCATGAAGGCCCGGGGAGCAGCTCCTGGGAACCTACCCTCTCTTCTGAAAGGGGAAGCTCCCCGCCACTTTCATGACCCAGCCATTCCTTACTCTCTCCCATCCTTGGCTGCCTCTTCTCCCCACAAGATGTCTTGCTTCTAGGGGTGTGGGATGTGGAAGTGAGGGAGATGCCCTGTCTTGGCCACCACCATTAGCGTGGGGTCCCTTGCAAAAAAAGCAACTGAATTGCTGAATGTTGAATTGAGTTGTGAATGTAGCCCGTACTCCAATCATAAAAATCAGAAAAACAGCCTCATAGACAAACACTGCAGGTTCTCGAGTGTGCTTGTCAGACTGAAGGGTCCAGGTCCCTGGGACTCGACGGAATTGGAGCAGGCTGGGACTGACTGTGGTGGTTTTGGGGGGGGCAAAGGGAAGGTGATGGCCTGCCCTGGGTCTTCCGTGACTGACATCATGACTTTGCATCAGCCTACCTCCCCCTCTCCTTCCCCAGTCCAACACCCCACCAGCAGCAGCAGCCTCCACCCCCACCAGCACCCTTCCCGCTCAGAGACAGACGGCAGCTTTCCGAAGCCGCTGAGGAGCGCCTCCTGGCGGCAAAGCCCTAATCCTCAACTGTACACAATCCACAGGACCTCTTCCAGTTCCACCGGTGTGTGTGTGTGTGTGTGTGTGTGTGTGCGTGCGTGCGTGTGTGTTTGTGTGTATTTGAGTGTGTTTGTGTGTGTGTGTGTTACTGGCACATGTCCGCACACAGGCACACAACCCAGTGTCTAAAAAGCTCAGAATCAGACGTGCAGGCTCATGCTTTGAGCCCATGCACACACCATTAAATTCCACTGACCAAACATGCTAAGGATACCCTGTGGGGATTCTACGGGTAGGTGAAATGAGTAAGGCACAGGCAACAGAAAAGCATCTGTGATAACAAAGGAAGGAGACCCAGACAGACAGAACATAAGTAAGAGGCAGCAAAACTGTACTAGAAAGTGCCTTAGATCATTAAAAGGCAAGCATCCATCCTATCTTGTCAAGGAGACCTGGGGAATTGCATGGAGGGAGCAGTGTTGGCAAAGGGTCTCAGAAAGTTAATGCTGCTGCTGTTGTGGATGGCTATGGTGACAATGAGGATGTTTACCACATGCCAGACACCGGTTTAGACACTTGATTTGCATAATCTCAGTGCTCATGGCAGGCCTTGCACGCGGCATCAACTGTCTCCATTTTACACATGAGAAAACATTAAGTCAAGTAGTGCCAATATCTGACCTAGCAGAGATGAGGTTAAGGGGCTCTAAGGATGTGGGAATAGTATGCCCAGATCACCCCGCCTTGAGTGGAGATGGAAGTGAGTGTCGGGGGTCTGGTTAAGACACAGCCATGTACAAGAGGTGAGAAACGGGAGGCAGAGAATTATGGCAGATGCTTAGCTGCAGGGTTTGAAGGTTAGAGCACAGACTGTGGTAAGTTTAACAAGGCCATGGGAAGCCAGTGCAGGGTGATAGGTTTACATGTGCCTTTTAGGAAGATTAATCTGAGGGTCACATTAAGATAGGCAAGAGCTAGAGGACCGAGCCATGAACCAAGACATGTAAGCAGTAGGAGGGAGGAGGTGGGGTGAGCAGTGTCCAGAATTCTTCCCTGTGCCTCTATCTCAATCATAGTCACCAGATCTCATATTCTGCTAGGCAGTTTCTACCTCCCCAGTTAACTGAAGGCTGTGAGAACCAGTGTTGGAGAATGCCCTTGTTCTCTTCCTCGGTGCCTGGTAGACAGCAGGTACTCAAATAATACAGTGAGTGCCTGTGTACGGATGAGAAATACTGGCTGGGGTTTTTGGTTGAAGGAATTTAAACAAGCCGTGCTGGAGGACGAGAAGGGAACCCAGCAAGGGTGGGATTAATCGTCCAGAAATTGGATTGGAAATGGCATGTGTAATGCTATACAGCAGAGAGTTAAAAATCTGCAGGCTTTAGAGAGAAAGATGTGTGTGCGTGTGTGTATGTGGCTAACTAAGGATCCTAAATCAGTAGGCACAGATGGGAGGCTTCCATGGAAGGAGCAGAAGGAAGGAGAATGGGGAGTTTGCCTGGAGAAGGAAGGGGACCAGCAAAAGAGAGAAAGGGGACCTGTTTGGGGAGAATGAAAACCACAAGATTGCTGTGTCATGGAATTCAGATCTGAGAAGGCTGAAATTAGGGGGAGGGTGTAGTGATCAGCATCAAATGCTACAAAAGTAGAGGAGGCAGAGGGCTGTGAACACTCCTGGTCAAGCATAGGTCTCCTAGCACGCTAATTAAGGCAGCTTCTGGGCTGTGTGCTAAGACAGCCAATATCAGCAGCAGTAGAGCTTCACCGGGAGATGAGGAGGAAGCTGCACAGAGTGTGGACTCTGGCACAGTAGAGGGCAGAGAGTCAAAGAAGGGCATTGTTCAAGGCAAGGGTTGGAAAAGGAAGGAGACCCAAGAGACTAGAAAAAGGGCACCAAAGATTTAGGAATGTGTGGTGATTCATGGCTAAAGGAAGAGGTGCAAAGAGAAAACTCTAGGTCGGCTTCCTCTAGGAGGAGGGAGTTCCCTGGAGCAAGGGGAGGGGATGTTGCAGGTGTGTGCAATCGCCTTCATTAATCACTTTAATAATAGCTTTCCTTTACTGAGCACCTGTCACGTGACAAACACCTCCCGCGGATGATTTCTAACCTTCAAACTGGCCCTGGAGCCCTCCTTTTATAAAGAAGACTTAGTTTCAAAGAGCTGTCTCCCTGGAAGCAAGGGCTTGCCCTGGAGGGTCTCCTGTTAAGAGGCTGGGGTGAGGAGCAGCTTCATCACTTAGACTATCTCAACCGTATGAGCAAAGAGACTGCCCAACACATAAGAGCGCCACACTCAGACTGAACAACAGGACTTTGGAATAGACTCAAAAAAGTCCAGCTAAGTAATCCTGAGAATTACTTAGGACCCTCCTGGAGCAATAGAGATATAAGCATTGAGAAGATTCGGTCCTGGAATGGATGTATTTTGAAGATGGGGAAGCAGTGAAGACCGCGACTGAATGTATGCATGAGTGTAAAAGTGTCCAGATAAGGAGGTAATTGCTGATGCATGGAGTATTGCATTTGAGTAGCGTCCATAGAACACCCAGGAGGACCCAAATGCATCATCTCATTGTGTGTGTGTGTGTGTGTGTGTGTGTGTGTGTGTGTGTGTGTGTGCATTTCTCCATATGCACGCACTCACAGACACCGCACAGGTTTGCCTCTCTAATTCATTGTTACATCTTCAGTGTCTAAGATACTGATTAACACGCAGTAGGTTGTCAATGCTTGCTGCATGAGTAAATACAGGGATCTAAAGTCCAGGTAAGAGGTCTAGGTGTCATCTATGTCAGCAATCAATAAGGAAGGCCTCTAGTCTGAATAAACCCCCGCCAAGAGAAATTTGGCAGAAGAAACAGAAGCAGGGGCTGAGGCCAGAGTCTGAGGATCAAGTGAAACATGAGCCAGTAAGGAACAGGGAGTGATGAGGAAACAGGCTAGAAGACGTGGGAGGGGGGGGGGTGCGTTAGAGAACCAGGAAGGGAAGCCTTTGTGGGTGCCGCACATAGGTCAGCATTTAAACATCCAGGCGGTGCCTCAGCCGAGGTACTGGGGAAGGCTGTGGGAGAGCATCTGGTGCCCAGAGAGCCCTGCAGCAAGTCGGGGACAGAGCTGAGCTACCGCCCAGGTGTCCTGCCTTCCAATTTGAATCATCTCAAATTAGAGTCCTGCGTCTTCCACTACCACCTGGCAAGTCTTGAAGCTCTGTGTAAACACTGCGTAGAAACTCAAGAGTTCCTGAAATCACTCAATTTGTTCACGGTTGGTTCCCTGTTCTTAGAAATTAAGTCCTTTCCCGAGGTCTAAAATCAATGAGAAACATTTCAACAGAGCTGAGCGACCTTCAGACTCAGATTTCAGGGTCAGGGTGGGTTCTCTCAACTTCACTGGAAAGCCTGTGTTCCCCTTAGACTTAGTGTCGTTCCATAAATACGTGGTCAGCAATGGTTGCCATTTGTCTAAGCTCAGCCACATCTCCAGGCACTTGACCCAAATTTTTCTCCTTTAAATATGAGTGCAAAGATCACTGAAATACATCCCCACCTGAAACGAGCTAGCTCTGGCACAGACTTGGTCCTAGTCGAGAATTTTTCACCAGTTATGTCTGATGCCAAAACCCTGGGAACTTTTTCATCTAGTACATTATGATTTTTCTCCACCAAAAACAACCCATTAAGTGATCTAATCTTATAGATACAGTCTTAGGTCCCTTATTATGAAAACTCACAGACTGCTAGTGATCTCTCACTTTGAAAGAAATGAGGGGGAGACCATCAACAAATAGCCTGGGGCCCAGCATTCAACTTTGTTGAAATAACCAGCCTGGTAAAACTCTCTGCCATCATTTCCCTGAACCCTTTTTTCCTTCCTAGAAAGTAATAGAGACTTAATGAAGTCTATAAGAGATGAAAGGCCCTGGGGACTGGGGAGGCCTAGTCCCAGTTAACCTCCAACCCACATGGCATTTAGGACAGTTCATAGATGTAGCCACACAGAACAAAGAGATTGGCAGCTGTCTTGTTTGTTAAAGAATCAATATAACAGCCGGGCATTGGTGGCGCATGTCTTTAATCCCAGCACTGGGGAGGCAGAGTCAGGCATATCTCTGTGAGTTCAAGGCCAGCCTGGGTACAGTGCTAGTTCCAGGACAGGCTCCAAAGCAATACAGAGAAACCCTGCCTTGAAAAAACAATAAAATAAATAAATAAATAAATAAATAAATAAATAAATAAATCTTGGGCTGGAGAGATGCACAGGAATTAAGAGCACTTGCTATTCTTGCAGAGGTCCCAAGTTCAATTCCCAATTCCCAGCACCCACGTGTTAGCTCACAACCATCTGTAACTCCAATGCCAAGGGCTTAGATACCTTCTTTGTTGTTATTGTTGTTGTTTTGTTTTGTTTTGTTTGTTTTGAGACTGGGTTTCTCTGTAACTTTGGAGCCTGTCCTGGAACTCGATCTATAGATTCAGCTTGGCCTCGAACTCACAGAGATCCATCTGTCTCTGCCTCCTGAGTGCTGGGGTTCAAGGCGTGCACCACCACCGCTCTGCTTTTGATATCCTCTTGTGGAAGGCACACATGGGGTATGCAGACAAAAGCCCACACCTATGAGTTAAAATAAACATTTAAAACCATTTTTAAAGAATCAGTACAACCCAACAATTAAAACAGGAGACCTCTAAGTTGGAGCCCTGGGGTCAATTCTCAGAGGTGTGGGGGTTCCGGAAGGAAGAGCCCCATGCTCAGACCTGTAGACCCCTCTGCTACCATCAGGTCAGCCATGCTCTCACACATTCTGCATTCCAATTATGACTTCATTTGGAGAAAATCTTCTGAGACAACAAAACAACAATAAAAAATATAATAAAAACTGAAAATCACTAATTTAGGGAGGAGGGTAGAGGAACTAAGATTAGCAGCGTGCCTACAAGGACCTCACTCTGTAAAGGCCAGAAGTGCCAAGATGGCAATGTCCCCAATGCCCTCGTATGTAATTCAAAATAAAAATCAACATTAAGCTATAAAACACAAACCGTGTGTGTGTGTGTGTGTGTGTGTGTGTGTGTGTGTGCTACAATAACAGATAATTTATTTCTCTAATTTCCAGAGTTGGCTAGGTTCCTATTCACGCTGCTATACCTTCTTTTTCATGCACCTCTGATATTCTGGGACACTAATGCATGCTCATTTGCTTGGTGAGTGTCCCCTCTGCTCTCTGTGGCAGCCTAGACTCTGCCACTCACTTCCATTTCAGGAAAGGGGAAACTGACACTGTGAGGAAAGGGTGTCACTTGTCGAAGGTCACGTGACAAATAATGAATGAGGATGCCATTAAAACACAGCTCTTCCTAGCCCGAATTCCAGTCTCATTCCTATGCTGGCTTCGATCACATTAGAAACAATATGTTCAAAATAAAGGCTTTAAAACAGAAACCAGGCTGGAGAGGCGGCTCAAAGCTTGAGAGTGCATACTGCTTTGGCAGAGGACCCAGGTTCTATTCCCAGCACCCAGCATAGTGGCTCAAAATCATCCCTAACTCCAGTTCTAGGAGATATGACGCCCTCTTCTGAATTCCACTCATACGGTGCACATATCTACGTGCAGGCAAAGTACTCAAATGCACAAAATAAAAATAAATAAATCTTCTTTTAAAATAATGTAAGACAGGATCCAGAAGCTATTTGCTTGTGTGCCCATGACTGGTCCATGATCAGTAAATACATCCCTTCATCTCTTCTTTCCTCCTAACAGAGCATTGAGCCTTATCGTCAACTGGCAATGCCCTGTGAGAACAAAAGTAGGCCTACCACCCTGCCTGGGAAGAGAGCTTTCCATCATCCCCTTCTCCATCCTCTTTTGCAGGTGGGCTCATTTCCCAGAGGCAGAAGCCAGGAGCGTTGAATGCAAATTCATCCACGGGCTAGGAAGCACTAACCAAAGCCTGCAGGATGGACTTTGTCATGAAACAAGCCCTTGGAGGTGAGCCCCACCAACTTCCCCCACGCACCCTTGACCCAGGAGGAAGGGAACCTCCAACCACCTGGCTTCTCTCCCCAACTGACCACCCTCTCCTTCCCCTGACCACTCCACATCCCTGTAGGGGCCACCAAGGACATGGGGAAGATGCTGGGGGGAGAGGAGGAGAAGGACCCTGATGCGCAGAAGAAGGAGGAGGAACGGCAGGAGGCCCTGCGCCAGCAGGAGGAAGAGCGCAAAGCCAAGCATGCGCGCATGGAAGCCGAGCGTGAGAAGGTCCGGCAGCAGATCCGAGACAAGGTGAGCACCCCCTGAAAGCCCGTCTCCGACTCCCCTGAATCCCAGCTCTCATCTTAGACCTCGTTCTCTCTGAGCCTCGCTCTCACCAGGAAAATGAGTGTCTTTGGAACACGCCCTCACGGATTGTGCATAACTATATAAGCACACAGGAAATGCGACTATGAAACAGGCCCAGCATCCCTGCCAGAGCCCCCGAGAGCAAATATAAGAGGAATTCAGAATCTGTAGATATTAAAGAAACTGTCCATAGTGCCTTGGCCACAGGTATGGAGCTCTACCCTACGTCATACATTTAGCACTTGTCTAATAGCATCATGCTGCAAAGTAATACCCCAAGGAGCCTGCAGTCAGTCTCAGTCAGAGGCAAAAATGTGCCTCAGGACATAGAAAGGCATTCAGTATTCAGAACGCAGAGGATTCCAAAAGGGCAAAGGGGTATTAGCCGTACGTGATAATTTAAAAAGAAACTGAGGTATGGTTTTTTTTTTTTTTTTTTTTTTTTTTTTTATGTTTTGGTTTGGTTTTTGGAGACAGTGTTTCTCTGTATAATGATTCTGGCTGTCCTGAAACTCACTTTGTAGACCAGGCTGGCCTTGAACTAACCAAGATCTGTCTGCCTCTGCCTCCCAAGTGCTGGGATTAAAGGCAAGCGCCACCACCAGGATTGAGGTATAGTCTTTTGTGTTAGTCATCTACTAAGGACTGGGGTCAGTTCTCCAGGGAAGGCGGCTTTCCTGGAGAGTTTAAAATGCTAAAGAGACACATTCCTCAAGTCTCAACGAGTGAGAAAGCTAACCCTCTCCGTCCTGTGACTCAACTCCACTCTCTCTTCCCCAGTATGGGCTGAAGAAGAAAGAAGAGAAGGAGGCAGAGGAAAAGGCAGCTCTGGAACAGGCCTGTGAGGGAAGCCTGACCCGACCTAAGAAAGCCATCCCTGCAGGATGTGGGGATGAGGAAGAGGAGGAAGAAGAGAGCATCCTGGACACAGTGCTCAAATATCTGCCCGGGCCACTGCAGGACATGTTCAAGAAGTAACCCAGCCCCCTGCCCCGTCCACATTCTGACTTTTTGTTGTTAGTCTTTCTTTTCTTTTTACTCAGTTAAGTATCAGTTCCAAAGGGGAAAACCTCAGTTGGCCTCTGCCCCCTCTCCCTAGCCAGGGCCGCCTCCTTCACGCCCCCTTCATCCCAGGGTTTCTAGCCCCGCTTCACTCCCAAACAGCTTTACTCCGGCAGGGGCATTGAACCCAGAACCAAAGGCACTGGGTGCCCCTGCAGACGGCCAAGGTCTATGCTAGTGTGGTGAACGCCCCATACATTCCTTCATGCTCCCCACTGCCAGGAGGGCCACTGTCCCCAGCCAGCCAAAGTAATGACACATTCCAGCCCTGCCCAGCATGCTGGCCATTGGCCTCTGAATCCCCAGTGGGAGTCCAGGTCAGGGCAGAGGCACTGAGTGGCCTGGCTCTGAGGAACCCTGCTCACAGTGAGCCTTCCCTAAGAGAGCCTGCCCTGAGAGGCTCTAGCTGGGTCTGGCCAGGTTAGAGTCTGGGCAAGAGGTTTGGGCTGTCCTCTTCCCTCTTCCTGGTGATGCCCACCCAGGAGCACACCCCTCCCCAACCCCTCCCTAACACTGCACGGCCCCGCCAAGCTGCTCCCTCCAAACGGATCCTCTTTGGACTTTAGCACATCTGTGGAGGAGCCTAGGGCAAGGCAACCCCTTATTCTCCCTTATCTGACTTAGGCCCTGGGACCCCACTGCCAGGCTAGGCCCCAGTTTGCCCAGCCAAGGGGCTGCCCAGGCCCCCAGAAAATACTTGGAGCCATCGGGCAGTGATGGTCTGTGCCATAGAACCTGTCACTGGTACAGCCAAACTGCCCCCATTCCTATCCACCCTTCTTTCTCCCTTCCATGTCCTGTCCATGTGCTTCCAAGCCCCCGTTGTCCCCAGGAGGACCCTTCTTGGTCAAAGCCCCAAGCAGCTGGGGAAAAGCCAATTCTCACCTGACAAGACTGTCCATGCATCCCACTGGCCAAGAATCGGCTCTCCTTTGGGATGTGTAGGGTTGCCATCTATCGTCACATCCCGCATTGTTGAGGCTGCCTGCTCTGTGACTTGTGTAGAAATGGAGAAGGGACGGGGGAGGGGGGAGAGCAAAAGAGGGAAGAATGTGTGAGTCCACACACACACACACACACACACACACACACACACACCAGTAATGTATGGCAAGCCCATCATGCATCCATGAACAGTTAGAATGTGGTGTCTTGAGATTGCATGTGTGTGTGTTAGTCATCATACCTCTGTGTTAGAGGTTGCTCATATGATGTACAATGTGTGTATGTGTTTGTGGGCTGTGGTGTGCCTGAGTTTCAATTATGTTCTCAGTGTGTGCCAGCCATCGCTGTGTTTAAAGATTGCATGTGTTAGCTTGTATATGCATGTATTTTCAAAACGGCATGTGTGTCAAGAGTGACAGTTACATGTTAGAGGCAGAAACGCGTATTTGCGAGAACTGTCAGATGGGCCAAGGCTGGTGATCGCGTGTGTGGATCTAAAACAGGCAGTTACATGTGAAACTCTGTGCGTGGACAGCAAGAACCAGAGTAAGATGCCCCCTCCCAACCCTAGACCTTTAGTCACAGGTGACCACATCTGACAGGAGACCTTACCCTTGGCCTAGAGTCCTTCTACCCTTGGGGGTTTCCTGCCTGAGGTCCTCAGAATTCTACTGGGACAGACCCAGGCAGCACCCCAGGAAGCCATGCCGGGCCCCCAGCAGGGCCTGTCCCGAAGGCAGGGGCCCAGGAGGGGCGACTCGCCCACTCCTGAAGCCTCTGCCCTACTGGCCCCGTTGTGTTCTGCAGGTTTTCCATTGTAGTCAACTTTTGCTTTTATTTCTGAGAAGACATGTGTCTTCCTGTCCGTTTCCAATAGTTAAAGCCATATCAGTTAGACCGCAATACTTTCCAGAGGAGACTAAACAATCCATATGTTTAGGGAACCAGAAAAGTCCCCTGGTCTGTCCCTTCTCTGAGGAGCAGGGCCTCGGCAGCTCCAGCTCCTGGGACTTACCCTTCTCCCCCACCCCCTTGTACCCCCGCGTCATCCCACAGGGGGACCAGTGTTCATGTCTTTGTCTGTGATGGGGAGCCATCTTGCAACCCTGTTGTCTGCTTGTTTCTGTCTTCTATCCTGGGCAGGATGGTCATTCTCAAGAGCCTTGGGGTCCTGGGCCAGAGACAGGCAGGGACCAGGCCAGGGGCCCCAGACCTCCCTAAACCCTGAGTAAGACTCCCACCCAAACACAGGGATGGAGCCAGTGTTAAGAAAGGCCTTCCCCTTGACAGGGATCCTTAGATGTCAAAGGTGACGGCAGGGCACAGAGCACCACATGGGTAGTAGAGATCGAGACCCAGGGACCTGACAATAAGCAAGAGAACCCAGCCACACCAGATAACCCGCATGGGCCTGAGGGAATCCAGATCCTCAAACTGGTGTATTGGGGTTTAATATGTCCTTGGTAGTTTCCATGGCTCCTCTGGATACCCAGAGTGAGCTACGGGCTTTTCATCTCCACCCACAGCCCTTCAGGCTGAGCTGGCTTAGTCTAGGTCCAAGTCTCCTCTTTTCCACGCCCAGACAACAGATGTTGAGGTCTTTGGGGGGTGCAGGCAAGAGAGAGAATTTCAACTTGGTATATACCTGGTTCCACCCACACAAAGCCCAGGGGGCGTAAAGATTGACACTTGTGACACAGACCTGACTATGGAGAGAAAACAATGGGTAACCCATAAAGAATCCTACGTCCGGCACTCTTGGGAGGACAGAACTTGAACACTTGAGCAGGGTAAAGGATGTTTGTTCACCTGATGTGCCTAGAGCAGGAGGTGTGTGTGTGGCCCACAGAAGGAACAGATGAGCACATCATGCTGAAATGTAACATGCAAGTGACATACTGAAAGGAGGCTCCAGAATTCACACATGGACAGGCATGCACATGCGCACATGCATGCACACACGCATGCACACATGCATACATGCACAATGCATGCACACACACATGCACACGCAGCGTGGTAAGTGGCTAGGTGTAGAACGAGGGGCAATGCTGACATAGGCATGTGCACTCTTGGGGAAAGCCACCAGACACCTGCACTGGAGCCTCACCATCAGAGGGAAGAAAGAAATTCTCTGCATCTCTGTGGAGGTGACAGGCACGAGGTTTCCAAAGTGTGTATCCTCCACATCAGCACCAAAGCACTGGAAAGAGAGTCCTTGACAGAGAAGCTTCATGAGTGCCTCCTTCAGTGGGACTGAGAGGTCTCCAGGCCATCCCAGGCATGTAAGAGAGAGAAAATGAGGGGGCAGAAAGAGAGTGCTGCAGCCCAGGGCCCCACCACACATGGGTAGCTGTGGGCAAGGCAGCCATTCTAGACTGTGGCTGCAGTAAGGATAGCATGGGATCTCCGGCCCCAGGGGCTAGCGCCTAGCTATCAAAGTTGCCACCCACAGTACCCTGTTACATCTTTCTAAGGTTTAGCCAGCCTTTGACTGTACTGGGAGGCCTAGAGGTCAGACTGGCTCCTGTGGGGGATATATCCCAGGCCTAAGGGTATGCCTCCCAGCAAATGTCCCTGCTCTGTTCCCCATTCCTGTTGCCCTACCCTTTTCACCAAGGAGAGAAGAGAGGCGCGCCTCCTGGCCCCAGGATGGGGGTGGGGAGTTCTACTGAGACCCAGGTGAGATGGACCATCCTGCTCATGGGGGGGGGACCCCTTTCCCACAACTGTGCTCTGTCCTTGTTGCTCTGCTTCCTTTAAATGTGTCAGTATCTGGGGGAGGGGAGGGTCACGCCCCTGCACTCCCTTGAATCTGACCAAAAGCCATGGCTGTGCTCCCCACTTTGTATGATGCAAATGCTAAGATGTACAAAACCAACCATGACAACAAAGAAAAAACCTTGTACAGCAGTTTCCATCTGTCTACCTTTCTCTGTCCATTAGCACCACCCATAACAGGAGACAACCAACACAGACAACTCAAAATAGCCCAAAATGCCCTATGTCGTATGTCCGGCTTCTGGCCAGGACACTGGGAAAATGACCTCCAAAATCAAAGGAGGCCAAAGTCAGAGCTGGCTCAGGTTCCAGGATCACTCTACCTCTGGAAGCCAACTCTACAACCCCAGGGGGAGGGTTGTGCAGGCTGACCCTCGAATCCTATCCTAGGCTGCCCCTCCTCCACCAGCCCCTTGAGGTGTGGCACCCTGAGAATACCATGAACACAGTAGAAGGGTAAATGCCTGCCAGTAGTTAATCCACAACTCAGATCTACTCTCTTCTGAGCCTGGGAGGCTGGGAACACATAGAGAACAGCACTCAGCAACCCTCTTGGACACAGACACAGCTTGTTAGGACTCAGGATGAGACCCTTTCCCCTCCATCCCCCACTTCAGACCAGCCTACAGTGAGGCCCGTTTCTCTCTGGCTTCTCAGAACTCCCCATTGTCACACATGGGTCTGACCCCACTACTGTTCTGACTCTTCCCTTCTTTCCATCCTTCCCCCAGCCCCAGCTAGAGAGTCTATCTAAAATGCAAATGTCAGCATGTCACCCCATACCCAGCACCTTCCACCTGCCTACAGGATGGGATCTACTTGGCGGACACAATCCCGATGATCAAAACGGCCCTGTGTGGTACAACCCTGCTAAGTCAGAGTCACATGCACATCAGTGTTCCAAGAGCATCCAGCCCCCCAATCAATACCACAACACATTTGCTGACTCCCGTAATTCCAACCTTCCAAGTCAGAACCACACACACACCTCAGTGTTCCAAGAGTATCCAGCCCCCTATTCAAGGCTACATCACATTTGCATAAATTAACCCTTGCCCCTCCTCATAACCCTGGCAATCCTCATGCTTCTCAAGATCTAGCTCATGCCACACCCCTCTGCACAGCCCACTGATAGAGCTGCCTGTCTCTTGGCCAGAGCAGAGTCTGTTACCATGCACACAGAGCACAAAACATCATGGCTTTGTGTTGCAATAAAAGCCTTGAGCATTCAG